GCAAAGACAAAATACTGAAAGTATATTTTTAACAAAAATCTTCACTGAAAATGTGTATGCCTGGTCTTATACAAAAATGGTCATTTAATTTTTTTTTTACATACATAAAACATTTACAGTGCTGTGAAAAAGAAAGTACACCTCCTTTGAATTATATGGTTTAATGTAGGCATTTCCACAAGTACTTGTACTCATGAAAATGCCCCGATTCTTAAGACAGGTTACCGGCCCCTTACATTTTCAAACCGCAGCGGCTGCCGAATTCCTGCCCTTGTGGGGACCTTAGCAGCATGCTGCGGACCTGGCAGTAGCTGTCCCTGGCAGTGCCTGTCCATTTCTATACCCCCTGCTCCTCCTTCCTGGCACAGCCATGGACAGCCCCACACACAGCATAGCACAGCCCCGGACACCGACACCCATCCAATCAACTGAGTCCAGCAGAGATCCACATGCCACCCAATTAAGATTGCAGCCTTCTGCTCTGGTGGTTTGTATTGTGCTGCCATGGGATCTATTGTGCAGCTGCTGTGGGATTTATTGTGCTGCTGTAATACAATCTATGGAATCTATTGTGCTCTGCTGGGATGTATTCTGCTCTGCGGACATCTGTATTCTGCTTTGGGGACATTTGTATTTAGCCCTGGTTAGAAACTGACCTAAAATCAGTAGCCTGTGTTGTTTTAGAAAAAATGTCACATGTCCCTTTAAGAAAAAGAATCGGTAATTGGTATCTGCAAGTACCTAAAGGCAAGTACTTGTACTTGGTCTTAAAGTGGTATCGGGACATCACTAGTTTAAAGTATAAGGGCATAATAAAAATCATCTGGCCCTTAGCAGGTCTTAAAATGAGCAACATACAACCTCTGATGGCCAAGAAAACATGACAGATTACACCGTGTCAAAGCCAAAATGGAGAAGCCATGTGTGAAAAACTAAGTATACCGTTACTGCCATCTGTCTAACAGCTAAAAGGTGGCCAAAACTTGGCCATTCAAAAGGACAATGATCCCAAGCACACCAGCAAATCTACACAGAATGGCTGAAAAAGAAAAGAACCAAGGTGTTGTAATGGCCCAGTCAAAGTCCAGACCTCAACCCGATTGAAATGCTGCGGTGAGACTTTAAGAGAGCCGTGTAAAAACAAATGCCCCCAATCCACAATGAACTAAAGCAACGTTGTAAAGGGGTGGGGGGGAGCAAAATTCCTCCACAAGGATGTGAGAGACTGGCAAATCATACAGCAAACAATTACTTCAAGGTATTGCTGCTAAAGGTGGTTCTACAAGCTATTGAATCATAATGTGTACTTAGTTCTTCACACATGACTTCTTTTTGGCTTAACGTTTGTAAAATAAATCATGACACTGTGTAATATGCCATGTGTTGTTCATCTGAGGTTGTATTTACCCAATTTTACATTTTGGAAAACTCCAGATATACATTTTTTCTTAACCCTTGCAGTAGGGCTACCCCCAAACATGCAAGGGTTAAATGCTTGATTTCGTCTAGGTTCAAAAACTAAAATTATACTCCCCCGATCCTCTGAACTGTCCAGCACTCCATCGTGCCTGTCTCCTCCTCTGCTTCAGTGATGCTATTTGCCTCAGCGCCCCCTTACATCCTATACATAGTGTATAGAACATGATGACTGAGAGACCTTAGAGCGCTGCAGCAGAAGGGGATCAAGGTGGAAGGGATCGTCTAAGAGGAAGCTGGCTCTGAGGATCAGGTGAGTATAACTTTGCTGTTTTTGAACGTAGACAAAAACAAAACAAGTGCTTAACCCTTTCAGCACAGGGGTAGCCCCACTGTAAGAGTTAAGAAAAATGTTACCCGGAGTTCTGCTTTAAGACCTGCGAAGGACCAGATGATTTTTATTATGTCCCGATACTTAAAACCATAGAATTCAAAGAGGGTGTACTTTCTTTTTCACATGACTGTAGTACACTTCTGAAAGGAGCTTACAAAGTTTGCAGATATGATCTTATGTTAATCCTAACCAAGTATTGCCTATCAGAGGATCCACATACAGTAAACATCACTTGGCTATCATTTGCAATGAGTAAGCAATGATAGAAGTTGACTGGGATGGACTACTTACTCGACATTCTGCAATTCCTCCACCAGCTGTGTCTTCTGATCAGGAGCCATCCTGGCAAACACTGTACCATGTAACACCAGCTAGAATGACATGAAACAATTAGGAAAACTATACATACAGCTGACTCCACGCTATGAATATTACATTTGCCGGACCTTTGGAAGCAAGTCCTGAAAATGATCCAGAATAACTGAAAATGATTTCCCATTCATTGCAAAATGGTAATCGACCGTCAGATTCTCATCCAGACTGTCATCTGCTGCTTTCTTTTCTGCCTGAGGACAAAGGAGAAAGAAGCCTTGAAATGATCACATCAACAATCACTAAATAGCAAATGTGAATTGTTTGCATCCCACATGCTCCGAGAATCAAAGTTTGTATATAATATATTGGTGGCTATGGTGCAATAAAAAAATTGTTCTCATTTACGATACGTTGATAAACAATGGAAAAGTCAGGAACAGTTTAAAAAGCTAACTTCCTTCACCCTGTCAGCGGCATCACCTTTGAAATTGTGATTCTGTAGTTCTGACTTACTGTAGCCTCATCAGGGACATCAGAGTATAAATACAAAATGTTCATATATGACACTGCTGAGCAACTTTAATGAAGCTAACGTAACATACTTTTACAGGTGGAAAAGACGGACGATATAACCTTTTTCTCAGCCAGCCTTATAATATTAAACGTTCACTTTGTTTTTTCCTTTTTATAGTTACGAGGGCCAGACTTACTTGAATTGCCTTTTGTTTCTTCTTTTTTCGTTTTTATTTCCCCATTCTCTAGTTGTCCCTAAACACCCCCCCCCCCACCCCCGTGTATACAACATACAACCCCATCCACACCTCCGCGTACACAACATACAACCCCATCC